TCTCTCTCTCTCTCTCTCTCTCTCTCTCTCTCTCTCTCTCTCTCTCTCTCTCTCTCTCTCTCTCTCTCTCTCTCTCTCTCCAATCTACCTCCCTAGCTCCTTGCTCTGTAGCACTGATCTCCAGCACCCTGTCGCCGAAGGGTAACTCTAACACTGTGTGCCTACAACCGAGCGCTGGCCCAACTGTATACTGCTGGGGCTACTGGAAGTGTCCTCAGACTGCATATAGGGTCGTCCAATCTAAGGTGCAATCGTCCTGGATGCAGGTGAAACGGTATTCACCTGTTCGCAGTAGCGAATGCAGATCCCAGGGCTCGATCTCTAGGGTTACCTTACCTGTGTACATTACCTGTGTCAAGCCCAGGAGTTGAACCCACGACCTGTGTCTGTTCCCACAGTTGGTAGACTGTCGTAGGGTCTATAGATGGTAGGGGTTCGATCTGTAGACCTGTCAAATAGTGGTCTTAGGTAGTTCTGGAAGTCGTTGCTGTAGGACCTCTGAAAGGTCAAGGTCATAGTTACTACAGTCCTGAAAGGTCAAGGTCGTAGCTGCTACAGCATGCGAAAGGCCAGAGTTGAAACTTCCGGAAGGTCCTGGTACTGGCCTTTCGGAGCTGCTCACGTTTAGGCTGAGGCAAGTGGGCAAGTGGTGGAGTCTACCCGTTCTGAGTCAGCAGTCCCACTCCCAGTCACTCCTAGTCCAGTCAAGCAAGTACTGAACGGGACTGTGTGCACCACGGGCATGGGAAAGGGCCAGACCCACGAGCTACAGAAGTATAAATCAAGAGGCAGCACCCAGCCATTCATTCATTCCTGCATAAGCCATGCGGAAGCGCTGCCACAGCGACTTGTGCGAGGTGGTCTGCAGTGAGCCCGAAGACGAAGTGGGCAAGAAGGAAGCTTAGCCATAGCGATAGGGTAGTAGCGGCCATAATCGCCATAGCTGATAGGAGAGAGTAGCGTGTGTGAGTGTGTGAGTGTACACTGTGCTGCGTGTGGGATATCCAGGGTAATCCTGTGTGCGAACAGCAGTGTTGAGTGAGTGACGAACAGAGAGTTGTACAGGCGCTGTGCCGCCATAGCCATTTGAAGTGAACTTGTATCTGATCTGCGTTCTTGGCTACCATATCTCTGAGTTCTGAGTGGGCGCTTGTCGCCAGTTTGCTGCGCAACCTGTTTGCATGCGTGTGAAGTGTGAATGAAAGTGAGTCTGATTGCACAGGCTCCAGTCCTGGCCTAATCACCTGGCCTAAGAAACAGCCAGCCTCAGTCCCTTGTGGACGTCCAGACATCCCTGCTGATAAGTTGACATCAACCACGTGCCAACAACATCGATGAAGCCCCATGAGCCAACGCACAAACGGCTCAAAGGGAAAAAAAAAGAGTGTGAGCGCCAGGTTTAAATAAATGAAATTTGCAGCGTGGTTCGAAAAAAATTGAGAGAGAGAGAGAGAGAGAGAGAGAGAGAGAGAGAGAGAGAGAGAGAGAGAGAGAGAGAGAGAGAGAGAGAGAGAGAGAGAGAGTTCTTGCTTGAATGATGGAGTACGATTTTGAAAGTGACGGAGTCCGACGTTTCAATTATCATCATCACCATCACCAACATCCGCGCTTACCATCATCTCCATGTCTCTCTATCTCCTTGATCCACTGTTTCCATCACCATCA